CGCTTCGATGCTCATCCCACCAACGCCGACCTCTCCATCCTCGCAGAACCCTAGTGTGGTCCTTGGTGATCCGACCCAGCGGCACCTCCGGGCCGCGTCGTCTCACTTCATGTCGCTTACACCGGTCTCGAGCCTTAAGAGTCTCCTGAAGCTCTACACCAGCCTTGATGCAAAGAAGCTTACTGGCTTCCTGGATACATCGGGTGCCGGTGTAGACGAAGAGGAGGTACTGAGTTGGATGATGGTCATGAAAAATGCTGGACGGTGTGTTGGACGCGTTCAAGTTAATACTGGTAGTACTGCCGCGAATGGCGAGAAGGACAATGATGAAGGATCAAGACCTTCTGAGAGTTTACTTAGTGGCGAGTGGATGTCCATAAGCGACTTGAACTTCGTGATAGACCAGGTTCGTTATCTTCATCCCATTTAGTCTAAAGAGCTCACACAATCGTCTAGAACATGGTCCACATCGCTGAGTCAACGGTTGGCCGGCGATATGCAGGGTGGTTCATCCGTAATTCGGAGCATGCAGCGCGTGTGCTTGACAGTGTCAAAGCATCACCATTACCACCACGCGTAGTCCCTACTCAAGTTCAGAAAAAGAGTGCTGATGGGCCAAAAGGAGAAGGCGCACCGAGAACAACTGGACACAAGGTTGCATGGGGTGGGGTCAAAGTTGCATAGTAGATTATGTTATGTACTTGCTATGAATCTATGGATTATTTGCAATACAAGAACGGCTTGGTCTGTGGTCATACAAAACGAAGCACAAAAAGATGAGACGCTTTGCATTAAGAGGGAATCGAACCCCCGGCGGGTCGATGGCAACGACCCAGGTTACCACTACCCCATTAATGCGATATCGATCTTGCTCGCGATTCTTGCTGTGATGGATCCAGCTAAAAATAGCACACTCTCCCATCATTGTAACCTTCAACTTGTGACTTTTCACATGATAGATCTCCAAACATCGTACGTAGTAGGGCCACATAAATAGACGGGTTTACTGGTCGCGCCTTCCAAAAGAGTCGTCCGCTAAGCGCTTCCAGTGTGCACTGTGCTTGCCCTTAGTCTCATGTGCTTTGCCCTCTAGCTTTCATATCAGTAGGAAAAGAATTGCGAAGGAAGAACCTCAGCTGTCCATTCACTTCACAACTTGAAGGATGGAGGTCTTTCGGATCCTTGGAAAATCCCTCTCGGCCCATCTCCTCCAAGTTTCTACGACTCTCCATGGAATCCTCCCATACTCAATCCAAGGACCCTTGCTGAGCGCTTTGGGCATTGTGACGTATGTTTCCTTGATACCTTCTGCGCCTCCTAGCTTTCCGAGTTCTGGTAATGGTCTCTGGTATACCGCGCCCGGGACGATATGGGTTCAAGAATTTTTACCCATCGGCAATGGGTATTTGGGTGGTGAGTGATTGTTGCTGATAGTCACTGATCACCAAGTGACTTTCGAATGTGCATAGCGATGTTACCTGGCGGTACTAACCAAGAGGCCACACAACTCAACATCGAGTCTCTGTGGTCGGGAGGTCCCTTCCAGGATCCCGTGCGTGTCGCACTTTGAAGCCTTCCGATATACAAGATCCCGACGTACTAACCCTTCACATAGTCGTACAATGGGGGTAATCACTTGCCTTACAAGCAGTCCACAATAGCCGCGAAAATGAAAAACATTCGCGAAGCTATTTTTTCTAGTCCTACAGGGACAATTGACAGTGTGTATCCGGGTTTTTGGTGTAGTCACGCAGCTTTCCTCATTCTGCCATGAAGATATCGACGAGATCATGACACCCGGTGACACATATGGTAGGTGGACACAGCGAATTGTCGCACGTCCGCTATCTATACTCACTGTGTTCAATGGGTGGCCTGCGCATTTTCCAAAGGTTCATACGCCAGCGCGGGATACTTAATAGCAACATTGGATTCAACTAGCTCAGTTTCAAAGTATGCAAGGTGGTTGGACCTAGACGAAGCAGTGTCTCGTACTACCTGGTCTGATGGAAGCACAACTTTTCTTCGGTTTGTCCTTCCTTGCTCGTGTCAAGAAGTTATCTGACCACATGCTTAGAGAATCCTTCTGCTCCCACCCTCTTCAAGCATGTGTGCAATACCTGAACAGCACGACTTCTCACATCCTCCCAGCTGTGACTTATGCCTACACCGTTGCCGGGGTCGATGGCCTCCCGGCTCCGAATGTTACCTGCTTGGATGACAGAACACTGAGTATTAGGAACTACGTCTCCATCCCTGGTATGCTTTATGAGATTCTTGCGCAGGCGCAGGCACCCAGCGGATTGGTCTCGTGTTCTGCGGTATCTGGGGCATTCCCACCTAATGCTACTTTGACCGTCCTTGGTGCATCTGAGACGTGGATCAGCTGGGTCGGAGGAACGAACTATGATATGGCTGCCGGAAACGCAGCTGCCGACTATTCCTTTCAAGGACCAGATCCACACAACAATCTCGTTGCGTTGCTTTCGTCTGCCAATCGTACATCTTACGCTGAGATGCTGAATGGGCATATCAAAGACTATACTTCCCTCGTTTCTCCCTTCTCGCTTTCCTTGGGACAAACTCCGGATCTCAGTACCCCCACTGATCAAATTCTTGCTAGATACCGTACTTCTGTTGGAGACACTTACTTGGAATTGCTTCTATTCAACTATGGAAGATACCTCCTAGCCAGCAGCGCTAGAGGCGCCCTTCCTGCAAATTTACAGGGTTTATGGGCTGATGGGTATTCAAACCCTTGGGGCGCTGGTGACTGATTTGATACATAGGTTAACCGCAAATCTGACCAACCAATAACAGATTATCGTAAGCACCTTACTTCCATAGAAGGAAGTATCCTTATTTCACTACTAGATTCCAATATCAACATCCAAATGAACTATTGGGCCGCCGAGATGTCTAATCTAGATGTGACGCAGTCACTCTTTGACTATATTGAGGTAGTCGGCTTTCTGATATGCCGGATACCTGACTGAAGCTGACCCCTTGTTTTCTGCAGAATACGTGGGGACCCCGCGGAGCGTACACTGCTCAGGTTCTGTACAACATTAGCGAAGGATTTGTGACACACGGTGAAATGAATGTGCGTTTGCAGAGGACTTGTTGTAGAATTGAATGCATGAACTTTCCAACAGATCTTTGGCCATACTGGTATGAAGCTTGGCGGGAACTCTGCTCAATGGGCCAATTATCCAGGTACAATGACCCCTCTTAGTTTTCTTATTGAATAAATGCCCATGTTTGTGTCCTCAGAATCTAATGCATGGATGGTACGTATTCTCTGTTGGGTCTGGAGCGGGCTTAATTGATTTCATCATAGATGATACATGCATGGGATCATTTTGATCACACCAATGATGTACAATGGTGGAAAACACAAGGATGGCCGCTCGTCAAGGTGCTCCACTATGGGACTTTTGGAAGCTACGTTTAGCTGAGTTTTTTACAGGCTGTTGCCAGCTTTCATCTAGAGAAGCTCATCGAGGACTTGCACTTCAACGATTCGACTCTTGTTACCGCACCTTGCAATTCACCAGAGCAAGTCCCTATTACTCTTGGTCAGCTAGACTATGAAAACTTTTGATCATTGCTTACCATCGGTCAGGTTGCGCACATGCTCAGCAGCTGATATGGCAGCTCTTCAATATAATCGAGAACGGTTTCGAGGCAGCTGGTGATACCGACACTGCATTTCTAGATGGTGCGAGACTGTCCACCATTCGTCTTGCTCTTGCTCATGGTATGCACAGCGGTTATTTCCAAACGGCAGCAGATGGATAAAGGGCTGCGTATCGGACGGTGGGGTCAACTGCAAGGTTGCTGTCTTGCCCCCCTGTGTATGCGCGATATATTGACACTATATTCAGAGTGGAAAGTCGACATGGATAAGCCGGACGACACTCACAGGCATCTTAGTCATCTGATTGGCGTAAGGCCTTGTTTCACTCATCTGATATCTCCAGCTTACATCCTTTACTAGTTATACCCCGGCTATGCGATAGCATCTTATTCCCCTGAGTTACAAGGTGGTCTAATTGTCAACGGGACTTTCACACGCTATACCAAAGAACAAATCTTGAACGCTGCGGAAACCAGTCTATTCCATAGAGGTATCGGACGAGGCCCTGATGCGGATGCAGGATGGGAGAAAGTTTGGAGGGCTGCGGCGTGGGCGCAGCTTGCCAACGAGACTGAATTTTACAAAGAACTTACTGTAAGAACTGGCAGTTGCATCATGCCGCCAATACTAATCCAGTGCAGCACACCATCGAGAGAAATTTTGCGCCCAACCTCTTTTCCCTGTACACGTCTGATGGAATTTTCCAGATCGATGCGAATTTGGGGTATCCTGCTGCTGTTTTGGTAAGATGTTGAAGCCATTTTGTCTAGGAAATCTGTATCTGAACCTCGAATTCGGACCGATAGAATGCACTGCTACAAGCCCCTGATATCGCGAATATCAACGTTCCACTCCAGGTTACACTCCTACCCGCTCTCCCTCTCGCATGGTCGACTGGCGAAATGAAGGGCGCGCGCATACGTGGGGGGATCACCCTCGACTTTGCGTGGAATGATGGCAGGTTGACGACAGCAACCTTTACCGTGGATCAGAATGTTGCAGGTAGGGAGAGAGATGTGATAGTGAATTATGGTGGACGGGTTATAGCACAGTTCAGGAGCAATGGGGGATACAGCCAAACCGTCTCTTCGTTTTAAGAACGTCAATCTAAACAAAGTGGTGGATTCCTGTAATTACTAACCATGTACCATGATTACAATGACATACGTCGTTAGGCGCTTCATCGCATTAATGGGGTAGTGGTAACCTGGGTCGTTGCCATCGACCCGCCGGGGGTTCGATTCCCTCTTAATGCAGCAGGAATTGTTGGAGTTCCAAACTTCAAAATTCTATTTTTACATAATTTTTTTTCACTCAGTACTTGTTATGTAATCATTATTATTATTTGAATTTTTTATATTTCCTTCTTCACTGGTACATTATCCATCAGAAGCTGATGCACATGCTCAATATTTGCAGTTAGCACTTGTTTAATGGCTCTGCGCATCGTGCCAAGCAATGGCTGTCCAGAATCCATTTATCAGTATTCATGTGGGTTCACTTATCGTCTCTACTGCATTCGCCTCTTTAGCACGACCACAGAATCATGCTGCATGTGCATCTGGTGTTAACTTGCATCATATTTCCCAGCGTACGAAGATAGCGCGAAGAAGGATTGTCTGCAGTGGCATCGTGACTAGTACCAAGCCTTTGGACAGTCGACCGTGTGGTGCGGGTCAGTTTTTCCGCGGTACGCATACAATTGCTGCATTTGCGCCCAATGGTGAAACGGTCGAGTATAACCCCAAAAATGTAATTTGTCTTCCAAATCTACATCTTCGTCGGCTGACTCTCTGCTGTGTATGATAGGTCAGTCATACCGAGAACATCAAAATCGGTGTGTCTAGCGAACTTGACGTTTCCTTTTTCACATTAACTCTGGTTGTCGTCAGAGTTCCCACTGAATGACACTAACTACGACATTAGCCCAAGTCGGAGTAACGAGAGAACTAAAAGAGACAAGTTAATTTGCAAAGTTAGACATGCCATCCAATACAAATATGGACCGGGATACGACGTGCAGCCCTATGGAAGCTCAGTGTATATGGCGATGCCAGTCCTGCCAAGAATAGGACATGGAGACCTAGATCTTGTTGTGCTCGTGAGTTATAACTTATTAGCAGTCAACTAGCCATTCATTCTGTTAATTTCTGGCAGGATACCAATTGGCCACAAGGTTTTTCTCCGGAGATAGACATGAAGCATCTACCTCGTATGTTCGATTTGTACAACTGAGGTATCAATGATCCTAACATATAAAAGCCATTTATAATACTAGGTAACATTACTACACGTCACGAACCAATGCCAGCGGAGCTGATCAAATGACAGAAAACTTGCTCAGACAATGCGACATGCAGGTTTTACTGACGTTGAAGCAGTTCCCTGGGCCCGGGTTCCCATTGGTTCGTCACCACGAATTGGGAAGGTTGTTTCGGGCTCCTCACTCTCCATCTCGATTTCCAGTAAAGTTCACTGATCCTGCATCCGGGCTTCACATCGACGTAAATGTAAACGAGAGGCTGGGATTGATGAACACTGGCCTTATCAAGACATACTGCGATATTGTGCCCAACCTTCGTTGTTTAATATCTACCATCAAACAATGGGCTCGTCCAAGGGCCCTTAATCAACCCTCTATCTCCGAAGCAATCCGAACTTTCAATTCCTATGCGTTGGTGCTTATGACGATCGGATGGCTCCAGGTGCGGTCTGTATTACGTCGACTGGATCATTGGAACCTTAATGTCTAAGAGACTCGGGACTTGGCGCCGAAACTACAAGCTGGCCTTCAGCCAATGGAATCCAACGAGCACCTTTTTTGGATGCGGCCATCAAACTCATCCAAGCGGGTACCTTGTGACACACGATATCGCAAGCCCACGACGTGGGTAGCACCACACATTGATGTCCTGGACAACCTCGTAGAGCAATGGTTCAGGTGAGGGATGGCTGGGGGGCATCCATCTTGTAACTGAGATTTTATGGCTCAGGTTCTGGGCTGAATTTCAATTTTCGCGCCATGTGATAGACATCAAGCGGGGAGGCATTTTCCCCCGCATTCCGCATTTCGAAGAAGCTGCGCAACCTGACTATGACTCCAGAGGCCCTCGATCCGAACCTAACAATGGTTGGTCAACGTTTCTCGGTCCGGATGTGGATTCGAGGACAATGTTAGAAAGTTATCCTATTTCTGTCGTAGATCCGTTCATTCGATCAAAAGTACGTATGTGTGGAAATAGATGCCTTTCCTCCTCTGACCTATATTGCCTTAGAACGTCACCAGGGGCATCAACGCTCAAGCATTGCACATGTTCCAGGCCGAGTGCACGGGTGCTGTCGAGCTACGGAAGCTCGGCACTGACATGACGGACATAATTGATGGATTTGACATGCTCAAGCAGGATTACAATGGACATCTGACAGCCAGGCTACAGCAGACTCGAAGGGACCCTCGCGGCTAGTTCTGAAAGCGGAGGAGGTTGACGCTATTCCTGACTGGAGCCCTGTTTCACGACAACCACCTGAATCAATCGATGTTCTACGATACAGGGACTTGAAACGTGATGACCCATCTGTTGATGGCCGGATCTTATCAGATACCCTCGAATCGTCTCATATACCAAACGAGCAAATCAGGGACAGCGAAGAAGGCTTTGGGCTAAAGCCGTCTTACTTTGCATCAGATTCGTCGCGTGTAGAGTATCCATGTTTGTTGTCCGAGGATCATACCTATTTGCCTTTGAAAGTCCTTCTTACTGTTACGACACTGCTCACGGTATATATACCCACATTACCTCATAGCGTGGGGCAATATCATGATGATCAACGTCGGGCACCCGCAGGCAGTGATGCCCAAACCAGTGCTGACTCGTCATGAGAAGAACAGTATTAATATTGTGAATGCTGTGACGGGGGATATCTAACGGCGACCACATCATTGCGTACAGTGAAAACAAATAGAAAGAAATCGAGGCCTTTAATATTGATATATTGATCAGAACTAGGCTGTTCCGAGCTTCTGCTTATGTATAACATCTTATCTTGAGCCACATAACTCATAGCCAACTAGAGTCGCCAGACCGACATCACCGCTCGTACTGCGCCTTCTCACAAACCAAATAGCTCCCTGTTGATTCAACCTTGTTTCCTTACATCCAACATGTCCTGGAAATTAGGCACCTCCAAAAGTAAGTCCATGCGCGCCGGACCCCTTTGCTGATCTCCCATCCACCGGTCACCGCTTTCCATGGGAGTTCATGTCCTGACTACCACACAGAGTCCAACTTGAAGGATGCCAAAGAGAATGGCGTCGTCTCACGATCCGTCACCCCGATACCGTCGCGGCCCACAACTCCCAAGCCTCCTGGTGCTATCGACCAGCAAGCTCACCTTCGATCTGGTATGCTTACGATTCGTATCTTCTCTGGTAAGACCGACCTCTGGAAAGTACTTTTCTGAATGTACTCTGATGTCATACACATACAGGGCGCGGTCTCTCCTTAGCACCTGGCGTGCATGTCCCAGAGGTCATCCAAAAAGCGCTCGACAACCCACCTGCACGAAGATCAGCAAGCAACCGCGAAAGCATGCAGAGGAGGCGATTGTGGTGGCTTCCATATGTTGTCCTCGAGTTCGACAACAATCAAGTCCTGGTAGACGCCATGGGCGGAGATCTAGCTAACCCTGTGTGGTCGTACCGGGCAGACTTGTGTGTGGTTTATGCGCGATGACTCTGGCATCTCTGATCGTCTATGCCACTAGTGATGTGTCCCGCACATCGACAATATCAGTCTCATCATATCTTCGAACCGCCGCTGCTGTACACAGCCAAGAAGATATGGGTAACGACCTGCTCATGGCTCGTGTAGATCTTACTCCTGTACTTGACGGACACGTAAGTTCACTTGTTTGTGACCATACTGTCCCCTGAATATCGCACTTTGCATTCAGCATGCTTCAGATCAATGGTACATTGCCACCGCTGGCACTGGCTCGTTTCACCTCAAAATCGACTACAAACCAATAAGGAACGAGTCTTTGACCATCGACGCATTCGATTTGTTGAAAGTGATTGGCAAAGGGAGCTTTGGTAAAGTGATGCAAGTGCGCAAAAAGGATACGCAGCGGATATATGCTCTCAAGACGATTCGAAAAGCCCACATAGCATCACGCCCCGGCGAAATCACACACATATTGGCTGAGCGGACGGTACTGGCACTGGTCAACAATCCGTTTATCGTGCCACTCAAATTCTCTTTCCAAAATCCTGACAAGTTATACCTCGTAATGTCATTCGGTGAGTATTTTACGTTTAGTAAGTTGGTGGCAGCTTATGTCTGCGCAGTGAATGGCGGCGAACTATTCTATCATCTGCAGAGGGAAGGTAAATTTGATCAGGATCGCAGCCGATTCTATGCCGCAGAACTTCTATGTGCACTCGAGCATTTGCACGGATTTAACGTAGTTTACCGGTGCGTTCTTAATGCGGGTAGCTGTGTCATTCTGCTAATGGTCCCATAGCGACCTGAAGCCTGAAAATATATTGCTCGATTACACAGGTCATATCGCTCTTTGTGATTTTGGTAGGTACATTACAATCTGGGGGCTGATGTGCTGATTGTCGTCTGGTCAGGTCTTTGTAAGCTCAACATGTCAGAGACGGAGAAAACAAACAGTGAGAATGACTTTGATCTTCATGGAACGATTTAACCGGTCGCTATAGCGTTCTGTGGCACACCGGAGTACATTGCTCCAGAGCTACTCGAGAGCCAGGGGTACACGAAGACAGTTGACTGGTGGACGCTCGGTGTCCTGCTTTACGAAATGATGGTGCGCCCTTCGAAACATTTGCTTCTGACCATGACTTAATCAAATGCACAGACGGGATTACCCCCTTTCTATGACGAGAATGTCAATGTGATGTACCAACGCATCCTCAGTGACCCACTTGTATTTCCTTCGGATATGCCATCAGAGGCCAGGAGCGTCATGATCGGTCTCCTTCAGCGTGATCCTGCCCGACGTCTGGGAGCAAATGGTGGTGAAGAGATCAAGCGACATCCTTTCTTTGCCAAATATGTTGACTGGAACAGGCACGTATCCTATTTTTTGACTATCTGTGCGTCACTCATGAATCACGTTAGGCTGCTCCACAAAAAGATTCAACCACCATTTAAGCCAAGTGTTGTGAGTAACCATGATCGTGTTCTTCTCTGTTATACCAAGCAAAACGTACTTTTAGGAATCCGTACTCGACGTGGCTAATTTCGACCCGGACTTCACTAACGAAGACCCTCAAGACTCTGTTGTTGAGGACTCTGCTCTTTCGTCTACCGTGCAAGAGCAGTTTAAGGGATTCACGTATAATCCCGCCAATGAGCACCTCAGCGAGAGCGTCAACTATGGACACGCAATGGGTTAAGCCCCCGCAATGATTATTTATTATTTGCAGTGCGCTGGCGTGCTCTCGAAAGATTTCCGGACATTTTTTCGTCCCGGTCCGCTTTTGTGTGTATTTATACATTTACATGCACTCGTTTTTGTTTTCGCTTTTGTGTGGTTTTGTTGCATTTTTTCTCTCAAATCAGTAGTAGGAGTTGACGGCAACATGTGCCGATTTCCTTTCTTTCTGTCTCTCGTGCTCGTTCGGTTATGAAAAGCCTACGATAGTAAATACTTATGTAACCGACTGTGTTTTTCATCGCTATCTAACGCTGTAGCATGGGTCTTACAGATGTCGCTAGTCTCCGGTTTCAGGCTACTACCCTTCGTCTGCTTCGACAAAGGAGTGAGTTCAGACTCCTTTGACGAGATATAGACAGCCGCGGCGGTCTGTGCTGAAGTTGGCTCCTGATTCGGATATGTTCAACTGTAAACTGTGACTTCTCTGCATCGTAGCGGTGCGTACGCACCAAGTCTCCGAATCCCCCCATGCACGGTTTGGGGCTGTCCCAGAAAGGAGAGCCACGGTCATGATGAACTGCGTAATCTAGATGACAAGCAGTCGCAGTCAGTATTGATGCATTGAGCGCACAAATCTGTTCCTTGGCGGCTAATTATGCCGATGATCTCTGAGGCATATCTCCCTCCTGGCGGAAATTAGGGGTCGGATGCATCTTGGTCTTCGCTGAGATGACGGTGATGGTGATGGTTGAAAGAGATTATAGTGACTTGAGTGAAGCGGACGAAGTACTGAGAGCTCAGGATCACGTGCGCGTGTTATGGGACGCGTCGCCGGAGTTTTGAATATTTAATATTTGAATTGCAAGTCCACAACCGCGTGCACATCAATCCACATCGCCGGTTGAACAATGGTCCACAAATTTTGGTCGACCAGATATAAGGCAAGCCGGCAGTAGTCGTTTTTTTGTGTTCTTAATAGTTTTCTCCACCTTACCAGTTCTGTTCACAACACTCAGTCAGTATAATCATTGAACGCCTGACGTCCGAGTCATGTCCTCTGCCGGCGAGACTGGCACGTCGTCTACTCCTCCACGTGCTAATGCACCAGTTTATGGTTCTAGTACAATTGAATCCATTCAACGCGATATCGAGCAGGCTAAGGAATGCAAGGCAAATGCCATGCTGCAAGCCCTCCTTCAGCGCGCTTCTTCCGCTCCCGAGACTAAACAGCCCGAGCTCCTGCAAAAGTGTCTCAAGGCAGTTCTGCCAGTTTGCAATGGACAGGCCTCCACTGCTCTCGTAAAGTCATCTGATGTCGAGACAGCTCTCAAAGAATAGTGAGTGGTTGTTCCAAGTACGCTGATCGGGAATTTTCATGATTATAACGATTGAAAGTATACGTCCAGGAGTTGAACACGACTTTTACGGCCCTTTCATAAGAGCCACTAATATCGCTCTCGCGTGTCTTGAAGAGATCAAGGTTGATGGGATGCGTGCCCCTGTCTCCGCCGTGGACATGATCTGTCAGCAGAACGATATGCCTATGCACCAGACCCATCAGACCGCAGAATCAATTCGGAAGCCCTACCTCGTCATTCTCCCTTTGAACAGCGCATGCGCTCCCTTCCAGGATGAGAAGGGCGGCGAGAAGGGGAAAGAGGAGGACGAACAGGAGGAGGACGAGAAGCGCAAAAGGAAGCGCAAGGCTCACATGGACACGAATGCAACGGCAAAGCCAAAGAATCTCCCCTGGAAAGATGTTCTAGCTTGCATCGAGTTCAAGAGAAAGATGCCAGGGAGGACGAGAGGGATTGACCCACCGCCCTGTTCGTACATAGTGAAAGATCATGTCCCCACCAAGCCAGAATATCTGCCAGTGGGTCATCTTGAGGCTGAGAACCCGGCGCCAGGCTCTTCGCAGACTCCAGCAAGACAACCCGTGTCAGACACTGCATGTAAGTAATGGCATTTAGGATTCCGAGACCAAGCTCAATCGGCCAAGCTATAGTTCTATCTTCTAGTCTTACTTCTGCACGGCCTTCCCGGGACGGGTCCAGGTCCAAGCGCAAGGCCATGAGTACTTTGCAATCCTCCGCGAAAAATTCAAGATGGATCCCGACAACACGGACATTGATGTGGACGCCGATTTAGATGTAACCATCCAGACGGGTCTGTACGTCGCCGAAATGTTTGCGGACAATCTCGGAGTCACTTATCTGCTGAATATTATTATTGTCGGTGAGTTTGTTCGTCTGCCGAAATTGGTCGCACTCTTACCAAAGTTTTTTCAGACGATGTAATGTGGATCTGGTATTATGATCGGCAAGGGATTATTCAATGCTCAGGCATCAAGATCTCCCGCGATTCATGGTACTGTTGTATGCTTTACAAGGCTTTGAGCTTCACGATTGGGGCAATAAGGTCTTCCTCCCAGTTCAAGTTGAGGGGAAACGATGCCACGAAATCAAAATCAAAGATGAAAAGCTTGGAGAAGTGGATCTGCTGCTTCACACTAGTTACAACAGAAGAGTGACACGCTACGGACTGCAAGGACGGGCCACTAATGTGGTCACTGTCGCCAGTGAAGCACTCACGAAAAAATACGATAATCTCCAGGATAGGATGGTGGCCAAAATCTTTTGGGGAGAGGCGAGTCGCACGAGCGAACCGGAAATCTTGGGCAAGGTTGATGAGATCGCAAAGGTTCACAGTTCTGTAAAAGGCCATATCCCTGAGTTGCTGTGGCACTACAAGTTCACGAATTCCACGTCCGCCATCCGAGAAGCGCTCAGCGTCCCAGACCCCACCACGGGCAGTCGCATCCTCTACATTCTCGTATTCCGCAAGCTCAAGCCGATCACGGAGCTCTACGGCAGAGAGCTTTTCGACGTGTGGTATCAATGCATACTATGCACGTGTTTCATCGCATTTATGAGGCTCCCGTTGACATAGTGTGCAGGTCACCTTACTTTGTGGAAGGAAGGAGTCTATCATCGAGATGTCAGCCCTGGAAACCTGATGTGGTACTGGCAAGACGGGAAGCGGATAGGTATTTTAAACGATTACGATCTATCCTCATTGGCGGATGTCACAGGTTCTCGAGGCAATGAATGCATAGGAACGATACCGTTCATGGCGATCGATCTTCTCAGCGCAACAGGCCAACGAGGCGAAGTCAAACATTTATATCGCCATGATCTGGAGTCCTTTATGTGGTGCTTTGCCTGGATCTCTTTGAAAGGAGTCCGTCTATTTCAGGGATTGCGTCCCGTCGATGAATGGGCGACTTTAGATGCTAGGGCATGTGCCGTCGAGAAGTTTTTTTTCCAGGGACATATAGAAGTCCCCGCACACTTGCACAAAGATAAACTTATGTGGAAATTCCTTGTGGATTGTTTCCATGTGCTTAACACGCACTCCTTTAATCGAGTTACACAACTATACCGATCAATGGTAGAGGGGGACAAACCGACCAACTCCGAGGAATCAGAATCAGAATCAGACATTGATGGTTTTCTGCTGTCATTCAAGAACACTGAGAGCTGGGCTGCTCTCAGCAAACCTTCACAGTAATTTTCACTTGTTACACTACCTGGGTTCCAATACTTGCGTCAATTGCCCCTGTGTGTTTTGTCTCCAGTAGGTAAACCGATCGATTCAATGGATGATAGTGATTCGTCGTTGCGCAGAATGAACTGTTTGAATCGGACATCCTACCAAGCGATATCCAACATCACGTTAATGCATCACTTACTCATCGGAATCCACATGTATCATTGCCGATTTTTCAAGTAACAACGGAGAATCCAATATCCTACGATGGCTGAGCACTAGACCTCCCGATGATCCTGGGTGCCAAACATATTGTTCAAGTACGCGATTCCTTTCAGATACAGGGTCCCAACGTACTGGCCAAGTTCTCGTGATGGACGTACTTGGATCTTCATACTCCGACTTATCCCACAATCGTTTTTCATCTGTGACAGTGGTCGATCAGGTTATGCTGGGACTAGTATACATACCTTCACCAGGAAGGGTAGCGGTTTCTTTAGGTTGTCCAATATTGTTGACCGCCATATGAGTCTAGCCAGGAACATTGTTTTCAAGGTACTCGATATCGACAGCGACGGTATATACACGGTTCTCTTGTCTGATTTTTGTCACTACATTCATACAATCAGGTAACAACTATATTAATGTACTACACATTTAATAGATCGATTCGTGAAACATGGTCCTAAGTCAACCCGAGGTCCACTGGGAGTTGATACGCGTGACAACACCTGGTGGTGCCGGTGAACCAAATTATCATAGTCTTCAGGTCCAATTCTTAATTTCTTGTTCCTGTACACTATGCAAACAATCAGCGACGTCATTTTTTGCGACCAGATCTACGCTCCATTTAATTATTAATGGGTTTCAACTGCCTTTCTGCAACTATCCTGCGGTCGAAGGATTTAAATAACAAATTACCATACGGAAGATATTAGGACATGGTGAGTGTGTATTGAGCATGGAAAAAGTACAGGGCACTGCCTCCAGGAAATACCAGGACCCAAACGAGTGTAAGAAGGCAGCCAATCAGGTGAGTTTGGTTCTGTAAATAGGTAGGTGGACGAAAATGAAAATGGGGTGATCCAAAGACAAGGTGACTTGCGTGGATGACCAAGGACAAGAGCAAACGACAACATGAATGACAATGGTAATTGCGGGGATTGTGGAGGGAAATGGTGTGACTTCGGTGACTGATGTGATAAGATAAAACGACTGATCATAAGGAAAGACAACAGGGAAGATGGAGGGGAAATGGCTGAAGTCTTCCAGTTTCTGGACGTTGAATGACCTGCAAGCTACGTATGTCAAGGCATCTGCATCGAGAATGTTAGTCAAGGTGTGATACAATGGAATGCCTCGGAAGATGCAGTGCATTGCCACAGCCTACGTGAACATGGATATAAACCATCTCTCCTTCAAAGTCAAGAGACGTCACGTTACCTTTGTTCATCTAGTACCCGCAGAATGCAAACCCCCTTCAGTTCCACAACTTCAGTCGCCCGGGTCGATATTCGATTATTACACATCCACGTATATTAGAATGGGTTCCCCAACGCCCTCAATCTCGGGAATGACGCATTTGAGATCAAATGCCTTGGCAAGCACAATTTTGAAGATCTTTTGAACGTTTATCGACGCAGATGTCGAACAGAAGACCAGCGAAGCGTGCATCGCACGAGCAAATCGTTTTGCCTAATCAAATCAAATTAGTTACCAAATCACATCATCTAGATGATGTAAAGACGTACCTGCTTGGTAATCTCCTCCTGCTCGTCTCTTGGGAACGTCGCGAACGTATCAAATTTCGTGCCAATGAGAAATGGTATAGCAGTCTGATAAACGGAATGAGCAATGCCATTGAACAATATCTTACGAAATATGAATAGACCTTGTTGAATCCTCGAGCCTGACGATACCACTCCTTCACCGAATTTAGCGTTGACTTTCGAGAAAGATCGAACATGAATAGAATCGCCACAGCATCATTACAGACGAGCGGCAGCATGTTGACGAACTCTCGCTGACCACCCAGATCCCATATTGAGAATGTGATGGTGGTACGCCGGACAGAAATCGTTTTCTCCATGAAGTTGACACCTGCAGCCCAACTCGTTAGGATGGCAAAGCGCAATACGAAAAATGACGGGTCCTCACCTAGTGTCTGGATATAATCCTCATCAAAACTGCCTTCTACGTACTTGACCATGAGACTCGTCTTGCCAATCTGAGAATCTCCAACCATCCCAACTTTAATGACTACGCTATTCTTCTCTTCATTGTTCTCCAGCATTGGATGCGGGTTCTGACCACTAGGGCCAGCGATTGAAGATGAAGATACCGAAGTCGTAGGTGGGGACATTATCGATCAATGTAGAGTGGTATCCAGTAGGAAGGGGTAATTTTGATACTGTGGTGGCACAATACGACGCTGGAATCAATGGGTAACAGGGTATCAAGATGGGATGACTGTAGGATGAATCAAAGTAGTCGGAAGAACGATAGAAAATAAAGACGCGTTCTGCCGTGCGCTGGTGAGATGTTTGATAAGCGCCTCGAGTGAGAATTGCAGGCTCACGCTCAGTACTGTACACTGAGACGCGAGCGACTCAACTTTTGCGTAGTCGCCCGTCAACAGCCAACGCAGAGAACAGACCGAGAGAATGTGGAAGTTGAAGGAAGGATTGTAACCTGCCGTAGCCTTAGGTAACGTGCTGTTTGGTTTATTGACAGAAGTCTGTTTTCGAACTTGACAAACAGCTTCAAATTTGTTCTCCTGTTGCTACTATGTAGTAAGGAGCTCCGAGGACCACGAGAGAGGTTACCATTTAACCATTCCTAGTTAGACCAATCGAAGGACAATATAAGTTCGTATCAAGGTTGGTGTTCAACTCGTCTCACTGTTTACAACTTGGACTGAAACTGAAGCAGATTGTAGACCAGACCAAGCCAAGGATGGATGACTTAGGCCAGGGATCCAACATCACAGCTCTAGCAGAGAGTGCATACTACCTCGATTTATCCTACGACCAGCATACGGTAGCCTACTGGGGTTGGTTCACATTTATGGTGAGGGTCGTCACATGTACAGACAAGCACTGATATGATTAAGATCCAGACACGCTTTCTTTGACAGTGAGGCTCACTGGCAGAGCACGTTCTTGTCAGTCTTGACTTGCACTTTAAAGATGCTCGCTTATGATATCTTGGCTGCTATAATGCTCCAATCCGAATCAGATGCAGCACCACCGAGGGTCGTTGACAATATTTATCGCATGGCTCGCTCGCATCCAACGATCAACTGTAGTCACCTTCACGAGCTGTACAAAACGACATCATACTGGGCGCATTTGCCACATTATGAGGGGTCAATGACTATCATCTTACCTTGTCTATCTAGATGTTATCCTCGCATCATCCCAGTCAGCTTAGTGAACAGCGGTCTGTTCTATATCTGAACCATGACGATAACAAAGGGCGACCACATACCCGTCGACGACCAGTTTGATATCCTGGGCATAACCGAGTCGCTTGGGCGAGCAGATATGGCCAAGTCTACCCCTGAATTTCGTTCATCCTCGATATGGGCGATCGTTCCTCGTGGCGCGTATGAGCCACACGTGAAAAGACTTTACCAGCTGCTTGAGAACGGAAGCCAGGAATGAGAGACACGGTGTTTGGGAACATACAGCATCCATAGTGGTATACGTCGGGCTGGTCACAAGCCTGACATTATCTTGTAAACCCATCGGGTGCCCCGTGGCTCTCGCCGCGCGAAATAGAACATTGAGTATGATGATCGGAGCCATCAAAATGTATCTTTGAGTTGGGTTCCCTTTACATCACACCCTCGATTCATACCAGCAGCACTACTAAGTGTGCTTTTATCGTGGATGAATTGAAGTACCTCTGACCCATAGATTCGGAGTTGTAGTGTAACAATCATATGCCCATTGGCATGCCACATGGATTTATGTGAGAATTTGCAAATTATCGGACTTGGGGGTGAACTTACGACTGGCTTAGGGACTGCCAAGTTATACAACTTCTAGAAACTGCCGGGAGAATTTTGAAGGGTAAGTAAGTAACTCTGGTTACCCCCACAGTTTCAAACATAAATTCCAAAAAGAGGGGGCTTCTTCTCTCATACCTGAGGCCTGATTGCTCATCACTACAGTAAACCATGCCGGCACTCACCCATGTCGATTGGCTGGTCCTATGTCTTGTTAGGGTCGAAGTGTATCTAGTAAAGCAAGTGTTCGGCAAGAAGAACCCCGTTCTATATCCCTCGGGATGGCCTCTCGTTGGGAACATTACTGACATGCCTGATGTCAAGCCCTGGCTCACCTTCGCTAAGTGGGGCAAAAAGTATGGTGAGTACTCCTTGTTTTTCCCAAGTCCTTTGTTTGAATAGCTGCGTGTAGGTGTTATAAGTATTGCATGTCGTGGCACTAGGAACTAGCCATACTCTGACATATTGTACATGCAGGCGTCCCGGTGGAGCTAAAAACTCACATCACAAACATCATTAGGACTGATACCGCCGTCATTTACACAATTTACATTAACTAATCGTAAATTTCCCCAGTTAAAGAGACCTTTTGCGTTCCCGCATAATATTGCAATAGTAAATACCAGTAATGAGACGGTGCTTAATTACCTTAGCCCAGTTCTCCCACTCCGCTCTGGAAATTGACCTCGCCGTTTCATCTCGTGCCTGAGCCTGAGGATGAGGCTTGCTATGACAGTCATTCTCCCCATCAGCACTACCACCGCAATCGCTTTCAACGCAGGTATGTTTAAAACCCTTGAGCGTCTAACCAATGAAGACAGCGATCCGTGCAATATGAGCTGGCCAATTGACAGCAGGGCAGCTCTCACGTAAAATGGATGACAGACGACTCCGTATGGTCCATTTGTGACAAGCTGGTGTCCTTTGCGGACACTGAGCTTGAATGTGAAAGAATAATCAAGGATGTGAAAACACCGCCAGCGGATGAATCTCCCAATGACAATGAGCGCGGTGCAGAAAAGGAGAGGGGAAGTGTCGGAAACGTCTTGAATCGCTCGAAGTGAGCAAATTATCGTTTGTAACCCGTTGGGGAAAATGTTGGGGTCTATAGTGTGCGAGGTAGTGATAGCTAGTTCTGTGAAAGCAATAGCCCAGATTATTGCCTGATAGTTTCATTAGAGATAATCGTGGAATGCTAATGATCAGCTGCCTTTGTCATTGGTAGCCCGTAGTTGGCATCCTGAAGAAGAATCCACTCTATGAAGTTCTTGTTGACAACATCGTCACTCATGGGAACATGGGGAGACATGAACACTACGTGCATCGCAATAGGGGGCGAGAGAATGAGTAGTAAATTGAAAAGGGACTCCATCTTACTGAAGAACGCTTGACTTTCGCGAACGCTTTTATTCGCATCAAGGGTTGAGATTCGGATAGTCAATCCCCGCGCAATTACGGGTAGAAGGTGCGAACTGGGAATTTTTTGAGGAATCCGAAAACTCAGCAGGGAAGACACTGTGACAAGAAACACCATGTTGCTCACATCATTCCAAATGGTTGCTCATGGAGCGGCTTTTGTATCCATGGTTCAGATTGATAGTGAGAAGAAAGAGAAACTTCTACCGGTTGAAGAATCTGAGGTTGTAGTCTCATTTGATCACTGCCACGTTGCTCGTGCGACGTGCGTAGAGATTGAGGTTAGAGACAATTGGGGCAGTCATCATACCCGTCACAATCTTTCGGTAGGGATGAGGACTGTGACCACTGTCGGGTTGAGGGCGTCGTAATCCTCATACTTTGAGTCGAATACGCCAAGTCAAGATACGAACCCATATTCCTTAGTCCAAAGCTGCTAAGACATACCAACTTTTACTGTCAGCATGCAGCCGACAAACAAATAAGAACTGGGTTAATGTACGAAATATCTCGGATGACGACGTACCATGCTATGAAGACGGATGTCACTGCTGACAGCTGCATGTATTTAGATATGATCGAGTCACAGCGCAAGATGGCAGAATCCTGAGTCGATGAAAAGCAAGGAAAAGATCTATCAGCAAATTGAATCATGTCGCAAATTTCCTAAAGTGGTTGCAATGAGGTACTATCGTTGGGCCAGAGTTGCAAAATTTGAGGACCTCATTTTCATATCTCAATAACTACCACACATTAAGACAAAATAATTACATGGAATTATAGCTACGTGTGTCATAGGAAAGCTCTAATTGACAGAAGAACGAAATGTATTTAGAAGATGCTGCCAGAGGGATGCCGACGCAAGATGTTAGAAATAGTAGAGAGTTGCAAAATTTCCCATGAGGGGTTGGCGTAGATGTCACACTATGTCACAACATCGATTCTATGAATCTGAACCCCGACCCGGCAACCGGTATGCATGAGACGCGAGAGAGTAAAACATTGGCATTAGATGATTGCAGCGCAAGAGAGTCCGCAATCAGAATTGATTCTCCGCTCCAACCTGTCACGCTTGAGCATTCTTTGACACCAGTGATTGCATCGTCAATAACAACCACAACTCTGCTCTATTCTCATCGGAAAAATTCTCAGAAGGTAAGGGTAGGTATGAGGTGTATGTGAAAAAAAAATGAAATTTTTTGGTTAGAAACTTCGTCCTCCCCTGACTATTCTATGTGAAACAGGTGACTTCGAGTGATAGATTTGGAGCCGTTGTAGAAACAACAATACTGAGAGGAACAAAGAAAAGCTCCTGACTGTATCTAAAAAGTTGTAGGTCGTGCGTTGCCTAGTCTGCGATACTTGAGATGGCAAGTGCATTCGACCCTAAAGGGGAAGCAGGTGCAGCGGAGATCTAGAGGTACGCGCTTCAGCGAAGCGCGAGAAAGCGCAGGTGCGCGCAAGGTACGAAGGCGCGGGAAAGCGCGCGCGTGTAAGCAGAAATAAGAGAGACTAAACTTATGTGAAGATATAAGCAAGATAAAGGATGTGAGATGTGTTGTGCTAATGAATAGATTTCTACTGTGACTTTCTAAGTAGTAAGTACTAGGTAAAGTTGGGTGAAAAGTAAGGTAATAGTATGTACTGCTGGCGCTTATATAGCGCGCCTAAGCGCGCTCATGCGGAGCCGAAGCGCTACCAAGTAGGTATGTAAAAATATATATGAGTGAGAAACTATGATAAAAATAAAGGTGGAACTATGCTAATAAAGGAAATGGAAATATATGCACTAGGGAGCTTGGTGGACAGTGGATGGATGCATCTGGATGGCTGGCGCTATAGGGCGCGCAAGCGCGGGAACGCGCGCGCGCGTATACATCATGAAGCGCGGGAATGGTGCGCGCATGGCGCGCGTTGCGCGGGAAAGCTGCGCGTCATATAGGAATCACTGTGGATGGTACACAGAGTGATGCTGCGAGTTGGTGCTGTATACTCCCTAGTGTAAAGCGCCATATCACACTATGAGATGCACGAGTCTCTACACCGTACATGTTCCTCATAGGTATTTTTTTATAAAAAAAATACAATGCTATGAATATGGTTGGAAGATCCTAGATCCAAGAGTAGAGGACTTAAGATGTGTTGTTGCGTGAGCTATGAAGCGTTTTGCAACTCTATACAATTTTGCAACTCTGGCCCAACGATAGTATTCTTGGAACAAATTTGCAAGGAATCTTGCTATATTTCAATATATTGCAATAATATGGCAACCAAATTGCAATGTGCCATACCATTGCAAGGCCTGTTGCAATCTGTTGCAATGCCATTTTACAGCTCTTTGCATAATTATGTGGAAACGCAAAAGTTGAATTTGCATGTCGGAAATGCCCGAGGTAGGACCCCATAAGCACCATCTGAGCGAGAACACACTGCAGACCAATCCGAGTCCAAGGCAGACAGTAGATGTGCTTCCAGTGATGGCTTCATGTGCTTCCATATCCCCTGAGATACCTCAGTTTGAGACTGTCTTTGTTGATACATACATTGTAGCACTCGAGCTAGCACTGAGCTTGTATTCAGCTATTTTCCGATGCATGTCATACACGAATCACTTCTGATGTTATCCAACACTCATCTGCTCAATCCGACATTTATCCACTAAATCCGATGCTAATCCGACGATTCCTGCACATTGGCCGCTTCGGATCCGATATTTTCCTGCGCATTTGCTCTCCCTATGTCCAGTCCTGTCGTTAGTGCTGCTGTGGTCCGGTTCCCCTGTGGTCCAGTCCATGGTTCAGGTGTCAGCCAGAACCAGACCATAGTACGGTTCTCAGTTCTGGCATTGGGCAAACAGTTTGGCTTCGGTTTGGACAGGTCCCAAACCGTTCTGAACCCTGAACCAATCATTGTACTTTCAATAGTCTATAGTATGTACCTTCTTTGATTTTGGTGAGTGATTCGCCAGTTTCTCCATGCCAGACAATGACCCAACCATTAACAAGTTTTCATACAACACCGCACTCCAGACTCCTCTCTTCATCTAGTTGAAAACATCTTCCGCTGCTTCGGTTAACACTTCATACATTTGACATATGAAGACCACGACCTCGTTACTGCCAATGTACAAGTAGTCACACACACTGCCTGATGCATCTCTCTGCTTGTTTGTGTGTGCCACCACATATTTCTGCTTGTCTACTGCTGTTTGCACTGGTCTGAATCAGTCTTGACACTATTTAGGTACGTTGCACATGTAGACTTGACTCTGGATGGGGGACTGATATGTTCTTTGTCGGGCACTCAGCACTGTCCTCAATCAGGTCCGTCTTATGATTGAGCTTCCACTCGACAGTAAGTTTTTCATATCTACCTCCTACCACATCACTAATCTGCTTCAACACGTCACCTATCTTCAAGTCCCACATATGAAGTGTCTTGTCGTACAAGTCGGCATGGTTGAAGTGGACATTAGAGGGATTTGTGCGTGTATTGTGCGTTTTATGATGTTTTACTGCATCAAACAGCCTTATTTGCATCCTAGGACACTCCTCAACACTACCCTCCCAGCACTCAGCTACCACTGCCTTTTTAATTCTCGTCACGCATGGCTTTCATTGTCGTGATGAGGCCTAATATCAGTCCTGACCCCAGCGACATCACAAATTCCCTTTTGAAGCAACTTGTGCAGATCCGACTCGGCAACCTCATTGAGGTGGTCCCGCCCTATTGTGGATGCGGATGCATGCATTGTGTTGCATTGATGCAAATGTTCGAACTGACATGGATCTCCGCATTAATGCAGATGTCTGCACTGACATGGATACCCGCATTGACGCAGATGACACAGATACCCACAACTATGCTCACATGGATGCCTTTTTTACTAATTTTTCTGCTAACCATCTCCTCATGTAGCCTCACCTCGATGGGTCCCCTTGCAGCTCCTACAATTTAGGGATTTGAGGTTCACTTCGGTGCATCACATTCACTCCTGCTAATGCCCAACCCTCACTCAATGAAGTTTTTTGGTCTGGTTCGGGTTCGGACCAGAAAAAAACCGAACCGGTGTAGAGACTTGTGCGTCTCATGGTCTGATATGAAAGTTTTCACTAGGGAGTACATAGCACGAACTTGGAGCGTCACTCTGTGCGCTACCCGCAGCTATCCCTATATGAGGCACAGCTTTCCTGCGCAACGCGCGCCATGCACGCACACTTCCTGCACTTCGTGATGTATATGCACGCACGCGTTCCTGCGCTTGAGCGCCCTATAGCGCCAGCCATCCAGAAGCATCCATCCACTGTCCACCAAGCTCCCTAGTGCGTATATTTCTGTTTCTCTCATTTGCATATTGTTCCACCTATATTTTATCATGGACCCTTACTTATATATATCTCTACATACCTACTCGGTAGTGCTTTGGCTCCGCATGACAGCGCTTAGGCGCGCTATATAAGTGCCAGCAGTACATACCATTGGGGGGGACAAAAACTTCACTTTTGCACTCACTTACAAGTAACTACCCACTTACTACTTAGTAGAACATAGTTGAAATCTATTGGTCTACACTTTGCATCTCTCTTTCCTTGTCATTACATCATATCATCACTTAAAGCAAGCTTATACTTAGTCTTTATTGTTTCTGCATACACGCATGCACTTTCCCGCACTTCGCACGAATACGCACGCGTGTTCCTGCACCTTGCGCGCATCTGCACTTTCTCGCGCTCCGCTTCGGCGCATACTTCTAGATCCTCGCTGCACTCGCTTCCCCTTTAGGGTCGAACGCGCTTGTCATCTCAAGCATAGCAGACTAGGCAACGCATGACCTACAACATCTACAGATACAGTCAGGAGCTTCATTTGTTCCTTGCAGTATTGTTGTTTCTACACCGGACCATAGAGAATGGTTCTCTATGGTCCAGTTCTGGGTTCAGTGATTTTGTGGAACCGAACTGATGGTCCAGTTCTTGGTTCTTGTCCAGGACCCTCTGAACCAGACCACAGCAGCACTACCTGTCATATCTATCCCCACTAGGTGCGCAGTTACAGTGGCTCAAAAAGTGTCCCAATGTTTGTAGGTTTTCATGTAATTGTGTTATTGCAAGCCAGGGCGTGAGAATCTGACTAAGCCAAAGGGAGGTCCCGAAAAGCTCCGCTTCTCGGCTACAATTATGTTCCCAATAGCGTGAGAATCCAATGACGCTGTGCAAGGATATGGCTATTTTAATTAGGTGACTCATTGGGACACTTTTTTGAGTTTCTATTATCTACCTCCGAGTAGGAGGAGGTCATTAGATATCTATATTTCTTCACTGAATTTCGCAAATATCATCCATTCTTTATCCAAAACACTCCAAAACACTGTCAGTAACCCACTGTTCACTATCCCTGACATTCCTTTTCTAACCTGACGCTAACCCAACGATATCAGACGACATCCACCAAAACCCGCTAAACCCGAAACCTGAAAAACATCGGACTCAATGTTTTACCTTCGGACTTTGTTTCCCGCACTTTGGACTATCTTCCTTTCAGTATAACCAATTATTCTACTACCAACAGTTAACCCCTCAGGTTGAACGCACTTGTTCTGCAAGTATAGCAGACTAGGCTGTGCTAGACCACAACTATTATATTTTGCTAGACACTCACTTTGTGTAGTGTCCAGCAAAAGTTGTTTACCTACAATGTGAAAAACTTAACAGAACACAATGGCAAAAGGAGGTGAAATCTACAAAGATCAAAGAAGTTGTTTTTCTTGTCTCCATGCTCAGTTACCTTGACTTCCTTATGACTATGCTTGCAAAGCATGATAAATCACTCTATAAGGTTATCTATACTGAGGTTGTGACGTCGGCTATGTCATAGGTCCATTGCATGTTGGAATGAGGTGGAAGTTAGCCTGATAGTTTTGTATACCGGTGTCTTCTTGATACCAAGCAAATGACAAACACTTGTGACAGAATGGCCACGTCGGTGCAAAACAGGAACACAAGCTTTTAGATCTAGTGAGACGGTGTGCGGTGGCATGCTGGAGCATGAATGAGTGGAGCCAAAGACTTATGGGGTCCTACTTTGGGTATTTCCAAGATGCAAATTCAACTTTTGTGTTTCCACATAATTATGCAAAGAGCTGTAACTACATTTCTATGGCAATTTTAAGTATGACTCTATTATTTAAACCCATTTCAAAGGCCATTTTGCCTTTGAACCTTGAAGCCCAGTGAAAATTGACGAGAAACAGGCCGATACATAACAATATATGTTGAGGAAAATTGAGGCTGTCAATTTTATTGCTGTGTTTCGAGTTCTTTCAAAAAAACAGCACTTTTCAAGACAGTGAAAGATACAGATTGAGAGGAATTTTCACTCTATCGATAGGTTTTTTGTCCCAATGTATGTGTTGAAAATGATTTGATTTGACCTTGAAATGGCACCGATACAGATATAATGCTATAGAATGAGATGTAGGTGGGTATTGCTGTGAATTGATGGTATTAGGTTACACTAGGGTATCTGCTGGTCCTCGCCCTGCACGCCATCCTGCCATCCTGCCTCTCAAATCCACCCTAGGACTGTGCAGGCACCCACTCCTACTCATCAACATTGATCGCATCCTCCCCATCGATGGCCTGCTGTGTTGAAGAAGAATGAGCCTGTAAAAGACTTGGATTAGCAGCCAAACTCAGATCTTGGACGATTGCACTCACTTGTGCAGTTGCCTTGCTTTTGTACTCCTAGTAGTGCGCCATGTTAGCTGTGCCATAAGAGAGAATGGACGGTACTTACCTCCTTCATGCTTGTGGATAGGTTGTCCCAGTAGAGTGCAAACACACTTGCTGGCTCTCACTGGTGACCGTTTTTTTGCCACTCAAGGGCGCATATGTTGCTAGAGATGAGAGGTATCAGTGCGAGTTTCTAGTGGGAAGCCAGGATAACATACCATGGTGTGATCTTCAGCCCCACTCACATTGGCTTCAAGCTTGGCTAATGTGTCTTGACAGGCTGTGTGTTCGAAATCGTATTTGCGGTCTTTGTGACGGTGTTCTCTGTGGCCAGTAACTCCATCTTGACAGCAAGCAAAGCCACATCAGCCACTGACGGCGGCATCCTGGAAGGCCTGGATGAGAAGGGAGTAGGTGCAGAGGATGTTGTGGTTGTGGGTTTGAATACAAATCCTGCCTATTGAAAACTTTAGCATTGACTGAACGTGTAGCTACTCAAATGACTTACAATGGATTCTTGACCTGTTGCCGGTGCAAACAGTTAGTATTTTTTAAATGTCACAGTTGGACTACACACCTCCACATTAAGAGTCTCTGTTTGCTTCTCATTTGCTAAGGACAGGGACGGTAGAGCAGGTTCGTCAATTTCAGCAGGTGATAATGGGATCTGAATGTCATTGTTAGCAAAGCTCAATTAATACAGGATGCTGACCTCTAGTTGTGGGAGCGCTTCACTGGTGGTGTTCTCGGCATCCTTGAGTTTCTGTTTCTTAGTTGGTGGTTCTTGAAGCGCTGGGTCAATCATCAGATCAAGGTAGTTGCTGGAAGACAAGGGATCTGATGTAGAGATGGAAGGTAAGGTGTCGACAGAACTCTCACACAGCTCATCGCCAGCAAGAGGGATATCTTCGGACTTGATGCGTTTCATACCTCTCCTCTTGACATGGTAGTTATACCACTGAGAGTAGTTGTCTATCATCAATTTCATGGATTTCCAGTTGTCAGCACATAAATGAAGTTTGAGGAATTGTTTGCATAGCATGTGAGTGAGCCAATGTAAAACTTGCAATGAGGCTTGACTGATTGATTCAGGTGTGAGACCTTGTGTCTCGAGTTGACAAAAGCTTGATAGCATAAGCTGTCGGATTGCCTTGGCACACTGAGCAGAGACAGGATTCCCTTGCTCGTCCTGAAGGTAAGTGCAAGATACGTTGATGCCTTTTGCCATTTGTGTGGATCCTCGAGATGATTTTGCAGTGGACCCAGGAACAGCTGACATGCTTTTTGGATAGTCTTCCTGCCATTGCTGCTTCATCCATGACTTCAAGTGTGGGTAGTCTTTGGGATCTAGCTCTCAATCGCATGATTCGTCCATGGTTGTGTCCAATAGACATGGTTTTTGCTCGTCTTTAGTATTATTTGAGGTCTCTAATGAATTTGATGCGATGGAGCTTGCGGAGCCTCAAATATTGATAATAACATTCCTATAACACATGTTTTGCCTGCATATATGCACTGATTATATAGTAGTCACTGTAAGATTTCACACTTGGTACTTAGAGTGGCATTCTCGCTGACAAGCATGGCCCTATCTGCTTGTAGACAGGTGACTGCATGTTGTAATTCAGAAATTTTGTGCTTGAGTTGTATGACCATACTGGCATCAGACTCACTGCAAGCCAGATGCTCATTCTTGAGCATTGATTGAAGGCTGGATTGTGAGTGAAAAGACTCGCCATCGAATTTCAAGGTGAGCTGTTGTCATCAAATCATCGGAATTGAACTCACACTAGTATTTGGATCCCGTATTGCTGGTGTGTCACATGCATATAATGGACGGTGAAGGTACAACAATTCAGATGGTGAGTCTGAACAATGTTGGGTCTATGCAGAACCTAGCTGCTATTCGACCCTAAAGGGTTTCTGGACCAGGCTCAAGGCTCAGAGTAGAGGAAATATCATGAAAACTTGCTCAGCACTCAGACTCATACTGGTAACTGGTGAAAAGATTGCTTGATTATGTAAGCTACAAAAGTGCCAACATAAGGTAAGGTAAAAACAGTCTCTACAAGCCCAACCAGAAATGAATCCCTACAATGGGACACACCCAGATCAAGAACATCTGAAAATGACTGTTGTGGATTAAGCTGAGCTCATAAAAGGTGGGAATATCCTGCAGAGGGTATCACTGTAATCATGTTGTTGATGGACAACATGATGGTAGTATAGAGGTAAGGTGCACAGTTGTTCCAAGACAAAAAAGGAAACCTACTAAGTAGTGTGCCACCATGACACTGGGCTTAAGCAAGTCGACAATGGTAATACCAGAATGTGTACAGGCCTTTTTTTATATCTTCTCCTCCGAAGTAGTCTATAGTACATTTGCTGGATCATATGAAGTTTTACTAGTCCTCGTCAGCTACTGTGTCCTCACTGCCCCCCATCTGAATAATGTCCAACCCTGGCTGTTCGATGAGATAGAAAAGGGTGTCATTGATGCCAGGAAAACGATGTGGGACCATTGCTATGACAGACTGGATAGCGGAAACTTCAATGAGTTTCAATGAGGCATCACCACAATAGTGACATGCAATGATGGTGTAGAAACAACAATACAGAGAGGAACAAATGATGCTCCAGACTGTATCTATAAATGTTGAAGGTCGTGCATTTGCCTAGTCTGCTATGCTTGAGATGACAAGCGCGTTCGACCCTAAAGGGGAAGTGAGTGCAGCAAGGATCTAGAGGTGTGTGCCAAAGCGAAGCACGAGAAAGCGCAGGTGCGCACAAGGCGCGGGAATGCGCGCGTGTATTGTGCGAAGCGTGGGAAAGCGCGCACGTATGCGGAAATAAGAGAGACTAAACTTAAGTGATGATATGATACAAGGTAAGAGAAGGGTGATCCGAAGTGTAAACAAATAGATTTCTACTATGTGCTTCTAGGTAGATAGTGGGTGGAAAGTAAAGTAAAGTGGAAAGTTCAGTAAGGTGAAAAGTTCGTAAAAATGGAAAGTCCATTGTACTATGTACTGCTGGCACTTATATAGCGTGCCTAAGCACTGTCATGCGGAGCCGAAACGCTACCGAGTAGGTATGTAGAGATATATATAAGTAAGGGTTCATGATAAAAATAAAGTGGAACAATATACAAATGAGAGAAACAGAAATATACGCACTAGAGAACTTGGAGGACAGTGGATGGATGCATCTGGATGGCTGGCGCTATAGGGCGCTCAAGTGTGGGAACGCACGCGCGCGCATATACATCGCAAGGCGTGGGAAGAGTGCGCGCATGGCACGCGTTGTGCAGGAAAGCTGCGCCTCATAGTGGAATACCTGCAGATAGCACACAGAGTGATGCTGCAAGTTTGTGCTATGTACTCCTAGTGTAAAGCGCCATATCACATCATGAGAGGCATGATTCTCTACAACGGTTTGAAATGAGCAGCGCAAGAGTTCAGCATGTGGGGGGCTAAATTGTGAAACAAGTGCAAAGGTCTTCATTTCATCATGGATTGTCATGTTGAAGTAGAACAACACTTCAGCAATGCTCATCTCTCCGTCAATTGATAGCTAAAATGAATGAGAACACTAACTGGTGAGCATATAAAATAAATATTCACCTTGACATTGCGTGCTATATGAGGTTGCCATGACATGGCATTCTCTTTCCAAGCCAAATGAGCCACTTTACCATTGGGAAGATGAAGGCAAGCCCATCATGTTACAGACGGAGCTGCAGTAACATCAATCCCGCAGGTTGACAAGTAATGGAGAATGGCACCTGCTTCGCACAGACGCACAGGGTGGGCATTCTGTTCTCTTCGACATAGCAAGACGTAGCCATTTCTGAGGTCTTGTGACCCCTTCAGCAGGCTGTTCTGTTTGGGTTCAATTGTTGGTATGATGGCTTTAATCATGTTGATCTGGCAACGATGGGCAGCTCAATGGGAGAGATTAGCATAGACGGAACTGTTATGGAGACAAATCTCCTGAGCGAGATTGCCAATGGTATGTTCCATCGTCCACTGAGATGAGCAAATTGGAGGCCCCTTTACGATTGTTTCGGAGGGAATATGTGTGGTCAAGTGTATCCATGGATGGACAAAATGGAGGTGGTCAATATGGCGCTGATGATAAATGGTTTTGAAGTTGTGCGCAAATGTTAGAAGGTGTTCATGTGCCTTTATGAGATCGGTGTGAGTGATGTGATATTGTTGCATAAGGCACATCCCACTGATGAGGTGACAAAGATTTGTCCAATATGGATCCAGAAGAACACCGAAGAGAGCAGCTGGTCTCATTCCGTAAAGATACAGCAGCCATTCCCAAGCTTTGAACCCACTGTTTATTTTCTCCGCAGGATTACGCAGTGGGCGATCAAACAAACCAGGTAGGAATGGAATTGCATCACCAATGGTTGAGCCATGCTTTTTCCACATCTCCTCCATCAACACAGCCCAAGGCCACGTAGATTTGTCATCATCAGGGTCAGCTCTAAATGTCCCACGCCAAAGTGGAATGAGAGTGTCACTAGCATTAATTGCGGCAATATGCATGATGTCAGAGCCAAAACAATGAGGTACAAGCAGGATACATTGACTATCAAAGCCACAGAAAATACTGGGCTTTGTAATAATACCTGTCTCAAGTCGTACAGCCTCATATTGTGCCATCGTTTGGCAGCGAATCAGTCATTCCATGTTGTCATGGTAATTGTACGATCCAGCTGCAGGAAGATGATCAATTGGTACATCGGGATGGTCACAGCATAGTTGATGGTGAAGATCAGGCTGAAGGAGGGCTGGATAGTATGTCGGAGCACCAGGTTTATGTCTCCCAGGTAGGCAATGACATGGGTTACCTGTGGGTATTCTTGTAGGTTTTGAGTATCTAGGATGGTAGCCCTTTATTCTGCGATGAAAACAAAAAAAGGTTTATGCAAAATGGTCCAGGATTGGCTGAGATATTGCTAGTCCAACCATCGAGGCCAAATTTTCAAAGCTCATCCCTCCACACATCAATCTTTGCAGGGGGGTACTCAAAATGTCAAAACCCTCACAAATTCATGGCATGCTTGCAAAGATTGATGTGTGGAGGGATGAGCTTTGAAAATTTGGCCTTGATGGTTGGACTAGCAATATCTCAGCCAATCCTGGACCATTTTGCATAAACTTTTTTTTTCATTGCAGAATAAAGGGCTACCATCCTAGATACTCAAAACCCGCAAGAATACCTGCGGGTAACCCATGTCATTGCCTACTCCCAGGTAGTCCACAATACAGCCGACATCCCATTTTTCCGTGGTGGCCAATGAGGCCTGTAAGAAAAGCCATACCGGGACCATCCGCTGTTGCAATGAAAAGAAATGGATTAGATTGAAATAGGATGTCCTTTGCACCGTCCCAGATCAGTAAGCCTTCTGTCTGGATCGCACAAAGATGATGCAGGCCAGGGAACATGAACAAGTCCAGATTCTTGGGCTTTTCGGACTTGGAATGATACCACCTGGCAGGATGTACTTCTTCTTGTACATCTCCTCTGGAGCATGATCAAATATGACCCAGATATATATCCAACAATCACTCTGTTTCAACTCATAGAGTTGCGCATCATCAATCGATAACATCAACACAGAATCACCGTCCTTGATCTTTCCGGACTGACAAGCATCGAGGTATTCTTTGCCGTGGAGAATATCTTCATATATGCTTGGAACACCACCTGTCATCTTCAACTCCTCAAAAATCTTCTTGGTTTGGTCTTCACACCAGCACATCTTCTGTGCCTGGTCAGGATGTTGCCAGAGCGCTTGGAGCTGGGGGCCAATTGGAAACGTGTCATATCATTGACATGCAGCCTTTTTGCGATCAGTGCTCTTTTTCATGTCCCAGTGGTCCTCTCTGCATCTAGGACATTGGTCAAGGTGGGTGAAGGGACCTGTGAAAGCAAGACAGGTATTGATGCACATATCATGCACAATCGGGACAACTCCGCTGAGCTCTGCAATGGCCTGTTGAATGCGATAATGGGTGTAAATATCATCCTCAGGATGCTGTTCCATTGTTGCACCATGGATAGCATTGTAGGCTTTGATTGTAGTGTCGGCAAAATAGTACTTTAACGATTGTATAAGGTCAGGGTTGGTAGCATCAGGAAGTTCTCGAGGAGGGTGTCGAAGTCTATGGATTGCGTTGTCAGGCAAACAAGAGTGTGGGTCATCGAATGATGCCTTTCGTAGAGCTGTGATGAATGCCATGGCGTCTTGAGCATCATTGAGTCTTGCCATATGGTGGAGCTCCTCGAGGTCCTCGTCTATCCAGCCCATTGTTTGAGGATGGACTTCATTCTCTGGGTTGTTGACATCTCCACCCATGTCTCCAACCCCCTCATGCTCTTCACTGACTTCTTCCCAGTGCTCCTCCTGTCGCTCATATCTAAGCTCATCATTGTTGTTATTATTGACCTGAAAATCTGAGTGTGATTGTGATCAGAGTCTCGGTCATGATCAGACAGGTAAGGTCATGTTACCTTGCCCAAAGTCATCCCCTCCGAAGTCGTTGTAGAAACAACAATACAGCAAGGCGTGAACAGTGCTCCAGACTGTATCTATAAGTGTTGTAAGGTTGTGTGTTGCCTAGTCTGCTATACTTGAGAAGACAAGTGCGTTCGACCCTAAAGGGGAAGCGAGTGCAGCAAGGATCTAGTAGCATGCACTGAAAGTGCTACTGGTTGGTCAATGTGAAGTGTGAGAAAGCGCGGGAATGCGCGTGGGAAAGTGCGTGCATGTATGTGGAAATGAGAGAGAGTAAGAATAAGCTTGCTTAAGTGATAATGAGATACTAGACAAGAGATGAGAGTGCAAGGTGCCAAAGAATAGATTTCTACTGCGACTTTCTAGGTAGTAAGTTGGTAGGTAAAGTTGGGTAGAAAAGTAAGGTGGTAAGTAAGGTGGTTGATTGGGCGTGTGGAGGAACACTCCAGAGAGTTGACTTCTTGGATTATCTACGGCTTCGAAGTCGTCGGATGACTCTTCTTTGACAGATTCTTCGGGCGAGGGCATTATTGGCAATATCGGTTGTTTAGGCATGCGCGCTAGGAGCGCAAGATCTGGTCGTGCTGGTTCTGATACATTGCACGAACGACCATGCTGGTGTTGGAGGAATAGGGGACCGGTGTAGAGACTCATGCCTCTCATGGCGTGATATGGCAGTTCCCACCAAGGAGTACATAGCACGAACTTGTAGTGTCACTCCGTGCGCTACCCACAGCTATCCCTATACAAGGCGCAGCTTTCCCACACTTCACGATGTATACGCGCGCGCGCGTCCCCGCTGAAGGTACAACAATTCAGATGGTGAGTCTGAACAATGTGTTGGGTCTTGCAGAACCTAGCTGCTATTCGACCCTAAAGGGTTTCTGGACCAGGCTCAAGGCTCAGAGTAGAGGAAATATCATGAAAACTTGCTCAGCACTCAGACTCATACTGGTAACTGGTGAAAAGATTGCTTGATTATGTAAGCTACAAAAGTGCCAACATAAGGTAAGGTAAAAACAGTCTCTACAAGCCCAACCAGAAATGAATCCCTACACCGCGCTTGAGTGCCCTATAGCGCCAGCCATCCAGAAGCATCCATCCACTGTCCACCAAACCCTCTAGTGCATATATGTCCATTTCTTTTATTAGCATATCATTCCACCTCTATTTTTATAATGGACCCTTACTTATATATATCTTTACATACCTACTCAGTAGCGCTTCGGCTCCGCATGACCGCGCTTAGGCGCACTATATAAGCGCCGACACACAAGTTTTCCACTTACTTTTCACTTACTTTCCCTTAAACTTACTAGTTACCACCCACCATTTTACTTAGCAGAACATAGTAGAAGTCTATTTGTCCACACTTCGCATCTCTCTTCTCTTATATTGCATCATATTATTGTTACAATCACTTTGCTCCTTACTCAACGATTCACTATTATGCATCACCTTTTCTTCGCTCTTGAATTCCCCTTTTTGATCTGACTTCCATATTCAACCTGTGTACTATTATCCCACCTTAGCCTTGGTCCGTGCGCATATAGTGTCCTATTTAAGCACGTGTACTTTACCTAGAAATGTCACTTCAATCTTACTAGGTTTTATCCAGAACTTCCTTCGCTTAAGACCACCAATCTTAAGTCGTCAGAACCGATCTCTTAGTTAAAGCACTCCTTTAACTAAGTCTACAAACCTCTTCTTATTTGAAGGGCTTTACAAATCTCAGCAACACGAACGCTCTGTCGAGCCCTTGCTGTTAGAACTATCCTAGTTCGTAACAAAAGATTGAAGTCCACGAAAGACACCTATACCCATACGTGTCACAAGAACCCGAAAACCAGAACGAAAAGATCCTGACTGAGCAAGATAGCTAGTGCAGGCGAATAAAAGGCGACAACCTGACTTCACTCACCCCTACCTTCCAAGCCTTGAACCTAGGTACCCCTGTACCACCGTTTTTTTTTTTTTTTTTTTTTTTTGATTCCATTTCTGTCCCATTGAGAGATGTACTCTATGCAGGACAATACAATCTAGTCTACGAGACCTCCAGTGTCTCGAATGCATCTCTGGGTGCACAAATGCCCTGGTATAGGGCGTACCCCACCAGTCCGCCGTTCCTGCCGGCCGTTTTAGATGTGCCACCCGCTAAGATGAGATGACTTTATAAGTACGTACATGTATGAATTTCTATCGTGAAGACGTCTATATGCATACTCGGTCGCATGATGCGAACTGGTACAGGAGACTAAAAGGGATGCAGATGTATTCCTAGGAGGGGTCAAGAAGTAGGCCATATGAGTGCATTGACGGCCTTCGTCCCTTCATCTGGCTGATGCCGCTTGGGGATTGATTGGTTTCCATGTGTGCGAGTGGGTGAGAGAAGAGTCGAGGAAGAGGAAGAGGGAGATGTGTTGAATGATAGGCAGCTATCGGCGTTGTACATGTGATAACATTGATCGCGAATCTGTAAAAACGAATGCTGATTTAGTCCGGAGGTTTGCGAGGCAGAGGTACCTCACCGAATGTCAGGCGTAGACGACCAGTGGCATTAACGAAGCGTACTAGATGAGGTGTGGCCTCCGGATCAGACAGAAGATATGGGAGAGGGAAGCTTTTCGACCAAGTGCTCCTGCGAGGGTATGACAGTGCTCGACGATAGTGCTGACAGTCTAATAGGAAGTGTGGGACAGTCTCCTCAATACCGGGGCAGTGTGGACAGTGGGGCGACGGTGTTTTTCCGATTCTGTGGAGGTGCTTGTGCAGGGGAGCATGTTGAGTGCGCAGCGCCATATAGAGGCCAGTGAGTCGCTTCGGGAAGTTGGCTGTGAGCTTGGGGAATGAGTTGCGTAGTAGTTTAGGATCTATCTTATGGATGCGAGCATAACGTGGCGATCTGCGCCATATCCTATCTCGACAGGCTTGTGTCATTTTGCAGTGTGCTTCCTTGAGCGCGGAGATACTGAGAGGGAGGACATTATGGTGTAGGAAATGGGGGAGTTGTCGCCTCGGGCTATTATGGTAATGTCCTTCTGCAGCTCTTTTCGCATGCTTGTCTGCCTCCTCATTTCCATGGACGTCTGAGTGTCCCGGTACCCATCGTACCGTGACGTCGAAATCATCGTGGGCTTTGGCGATGCTCTTCATCATTCTACAGAAACGATCTGCTAAGTACGATCCCGGGCGGCAAATAGAAACCCTCACCGGATTGGATGGCCGCTTGATTGTCGACAAGGATGGTCAGTGGGAACATTAAGTCTTGTTCGGTTGCTAGTAGTTTTGCCGCTAATGTCAGTCCGACGGCTTCTGCTTCAAAGACAGTATGTTCCTTTTCTGTTCCTAAATGATAGCGTAGTGTGCGGGGCTGTCTTCCTGCCCGGAAAAGAACCGCTGCTGCACCGATTTTACCTTGGTGACCTGAGCCGTCACTGTATACTTGTATGAGGTCCGTTATTAGGGCGTGCTCCTAATTGCTTGTTCCTTGTTGGCTGCTATATGGGTCTTAAAAGGGTTAGTACTAGATGGGGGTCTGCGCGCGGGGATGAGAGTTTCGATTTCCTCGGGTACAATTGCGAATTGACTGAGTGAGGCGATGTAGGGAGGTACGATGGGAGGCGACGTATCTTCTGGCGGCTCGGCGAACTAGACTGTGCAAGGGGTGAGTATCAGGGTGGGTGGTAAGCCTAATAATGGCCCTGTGGCAAGCATTCTGTAGCAGTAATGGGATCGGGAGTAGGTTAGCATGAATTTCAAGTAGGTCAGTAGCTGTGGTCCTCATGGCGCCTGTGATAGCTAGCGCTGCTATGCGTTGGACTGACGTTAGACGTCTGGCCACCCCAATTGATCCTTTTTGCAGCATGTCCGACCCTTCTCGAAATGTGGGGGTAAACCAGAGATCTGCCGCGTATAACATCTTAGGGACAGCAACCGCTAAGTACAACTGACGCATTAGGCGGAGGGGCAGTCCTTTGGCTGCTGAGGACAGTCGGCGTAGTTGAAATACGTACGCAGTGCCCTTTGCTACGGTGTTGTCGATTTGAGTTCGCCACCGCAGTTCTTGGTCCACTATGACTCCGAGAAACCGATGGGAGGGGGTGGGCGTGATGACAGCACCCTGAATGTGCATGGGGGGGGGCGTTCTTTCTGCCGGTTCATGGAGAAGTTCATGAGGGCAAACTTGTTAGTCTCAAAACGTGAGTTATGCTGTCTTGACCAGTCGTACCCTCCCCCTGGGCGCTCCAACATATCCGCTAAGGTCGTGTGAGTAGATTCGAAGTTCTTACCTATGGCGATGAACGCCGTGTCATCGACAAATGCTAAGGTCATTTCCTTGAGTGCTTGACGTCCTCCGCGGGGTTTTGCGATGTCGACGAGATCTGAGCTATAGATAATGTAGAGGATCATGGAGAGAGGGTCCCCCTGCCCAATTCCATTGGTGATGGGAATCCAGTCCGATGTAAAGCCATCAAATCGTAGTTGAGTCTGTCGATTCGTTAGTACCCGTTCTGTAAAACTAACGATGTCACCTGGTATGCGCCTCATGCGCATGTTGTGGATCAGTCTCTTGGTGACTGCGTTGGGAAAAGCACCCTCGATATCGAGGAATAGGACGGAGGCAACCTTGTGGGTCCTCCGAGCATTCTTCACGGTTTCCTCTAATAAGTGCAGCGAGTCAGTAGTGGACCGTCCTGGGCGTCCCCCAAAGTGTGTGTTAGGCAGTAGCTGGTGGCGTTCCAGAGTGAACGTGAGGCGTTCTGCCACTACTGCAGTTAGTAGTTTACCTAGAGTGTTGAGCAGCGCAATAGGCCGGTAGGCCTTCGGGATCGAATAGTTAGGTTTTCCCGGCTTACGTAGTACTACTGTAGTGAATCTTCTCCACGGCTCGTAGTACGTTCGATGAGAAAATGTTGCGTTGAATAGATGGTCCAGGTAAGGGATGAGGACCGTGGTGCATTCCTTGTACACGATGTTGCAGATTCCATCAGGACCCGGCGCCTTATATCCACTTAGTTTGCTGATGGCACGTTTGATCTCGTTCGAGGTGATGGGAGTATGCGGGGCAACGGGATCGGGATAGATTGCGTCGGGAGGAACATAGTCGATGGTAGGGGGCGGGGGAAAGAAGGATTCCGCGATGATGGTACTCTTCTCGGCGTTGGTATTGGCTTCCACCATGGAGCCGTCTGGCCTTTTGACTACTAGAGTGGGGATTCTCGTCTTCCCCCCATCCCGGGGATCTGAGGTAATGTACTTGTTAGCAGTCCAGAGGTCGTTACCTTCGATATCTTCTAACCACTCTATCCAGTGTTGCTTTTTTGTCGATTCGATCTCCTCTGCATATCGCTTCTTGAGGGCTTTGAGGGCGTCATGGCACGCGTGCGCTGGGAGACCACGCATGTGGTACGCTTCTTGACTGAGGACATTGACTTGTCGACGTAGATTGGAGAGTTGGCGTGTCCACCAGCGCTTGGAGTGTGGACAGGGCTTGGTGAAGGGCACGCGTGTCTCCATGGTATCTGTGATGGCTCTGGTAAGACGACGAGCAGCTGCCTGAAATTCTTCGTCAGATGCAAGTGGTTGAGGAGGGAAGGGCAGAAGGGCTTCTCTTAGGCGTTTATTGAACGCCTCCCAATCAGTCTCCCGCCAGTTCCGGCGTG